TGACATGTTACAGTATCATGTATGCAGTTATATACATGTTTACAACCCAACCAGATTTTCCTTGTCAAACTTAGCATAGAATTTCAAGTTCCTAATTTCTTGCGGCAGACAAATTTTAAAACAAACACTCGAATTCACATGGGAATCTTTCAACTATGGAACTGGCATATAACCCCTCTCTAAAACCACATTAAATCCTACACCGAGAAATCAGTATGAAAATGCAATGATTATGATGCTAATGAATAGCACACAGATAAGAAAGAACATACTCGAGATGAAGTAAGCTGATCCTGCAAAGAATTATAGTGTCCCCTTAAGGTACTGAGATTCTCCACTACAGCAGCTTTCTCTTTCTCCACGCGCTTAAGGGTTTCATTAGTTGTTGCAAGCTCTGACTGAAGTTTACTGTTGTATTGTTGCAAACTTGTGTTGTACTCTTGCAATCGCTTGTACATATCATTAAGTGATGAAATCTGCAGAATTCAACAAATCCAGATGACATAGTGAAGTGATTGATTTCTGGAAAATGGAAATTTGTTCTTGCACTGAAATTCAAATTACATCTTTTTGTATTACCTTCTGATTAGCACTTGAGTTCTCTCGTTGAGCACTTCGGAAAGAGGATTCTCTTGTAGTGGATTCTCTCTGCAGCAACTTTAGCCTCTTTCTCTTTTGCAAGAGAATCCACTGCAGCCTAATTGTTGTATTCAAAATATCAATTATTCACCCCCCCAAAAAAAAAATACAATTAACAAAACAAAATTATAAGCCAAGAATTTACAAATCAATGTAATTCTTCCAACAATCTTACCAATCTATCTGATTCTTCCTTCATAAATTTCTCTTGCAATGATGAATAATTTTTTCTTAGCTCCATAATAATTGAATTCAATTCCTCTTCCTTTGCCTTCATTAGCATCTCTAAAGAGCAAGCAAATTAACCTACATTAATGACCAGCTCAAATCTTCTACGGACCCCATTAAAGCAGAACAAAGCAATCATACCCATATCAGAGCATTTCTTCTCTGCCATTTCTAGCAAATTCCTTAGCTTCTCTTGCTCTAATAGGTAGCTCCCTTCAAGCTCTTGGAACCATTTAATACAAAGCCTAAGCCTTTTAATATACTCCATCATTTGGTCACATTTCTCCTAAAAAATCATAAAACACATCACATAAATAAACCCCAAAAAAACCCTAATTGTTCTATCAATGAAATTAAGTTAAAAGCTCAAAACCCACATACCTTAAGATTGAATTTGTTCTTTGTTTTCATCTTCTCATTCAATAATCCCTCAACTTCCTCTCTTGTAAACTCAACACTACCACAATCAGAACCAGCATTACTAGCCGTCCCGTTAGCCGGAGCTAGATCTTGACCACCATTGACGACCGAGAAGGCCTGCCGGGTTCTGCTTCCATTCGCCGGCCCTACCATTTTCGAAAACCCAATTTTTCGCCGCTTATCTACCGAAACTTCATCAACTAAACATTTACTCTACAAAAAATCATAAAAAAAAAAAAAAAAATCATAAAAAAAAAATTCAAAACCCACAATCTTTAGTCCAAAAACAGATCAAAACAGAGAAACCCATCATGAAAATCGAACCAAGTACTCGGAAACAGAGACAATTTTGAGTAAATCAAACCTTACATTTGAAGGGCTTGCAGGAGTGGGAGGCTTGTTCTGGTTCTTGGAAGCCATTTGAAGAGTGAGAGAGAGAGAGAGAGTTGGGTTGGGGAGGGGGGTAAGTTGGGTCTGATCTTGGTGGGGCCTTGGATTGCAATCAAAGCTATCGATGTATCAGAGCCGTTGCTTTAATTTGCAGGGACTCAATTATCTCCAAAATTCAACCTCACACAGAGAAATCAATTTCTTTAACCCTAAAAATTGAAATAATTGTAACATCAAAAAAACCAAGTAAAGAATTACTAATTTTTTTTTAAATTGCAATCTTTGTCTCTCTCTCTCTCTCTCTCTCTCTCTCTCTCTGCGTGAAGCTTCTCTCTCAGTGGTGTCTCTCTCTCTAAACTTGATTGGATAATTTTGGTGATCTGAGATTGACTCAGTGAGTCGAAGGTCAAACGACCGGTGGAAGAGAGCGTTGTTGGACTTTCGAATTTTTTTGAAATGGAGTCTGGCGCAATTATGCGATAGATTCGTTAGAAATACATAATGACTAGAATGCCCCCGTTACCTTATCCTATCCATATCTAATCGCATTTCCCAATGTTCTTTTTTCATTTGTTAGTTACTTATTTTTTTTCATTTGTTTGTCAATTTGACGAAGTTTATTTTTTTTTTAGAATCAAAATAATAAATAGTTCGGAAAACAGTTTTTATTTTTGTGCAAAAATAGAAGTGGTAAACTGGAGGGTTATTTTGGAAATTGATTTTTTTTATTTTTTTAAAAACATTTGAAAAAATAAAAAGAAAAATTAATTTTTGTAGTGCTTTTTTGACTTTTTTATTAAAATTATATATTTTTGAAAATAGATTTGATTGTCAATTTGAAAAATATCTGTTGGTAATTCGACTTTGCTAAATCCTTTCTCTTCATTGGGTTAAAAAATTAGAAAAATTTAATTTGATATGGATTTGAGTCAAAAAGTGAAAAAGAATTTTGAGTTTTTTTTAATCAAATTTGAATTTGAATAAGTACTAGAAATTCATTAAAAAAAGCTATCTTAAATGTCATATTTCTCTTAGTTGAGTTAATTTTAAAATTTAAAATAAAAAGTCATTCATAGTTTTAGGTAAAGTTTACTTGGATTTGAGGTGTAAAATACATAAATTGTCATATGATGTTATATAAGCTTCGTTTGGGAAGAAGAGTTGGGTTAGATTTGGGGCTATTTTAACTACAAAAAGACAAAATAAACTTTTTAACCCAATAAGACAAAACAATACATTTAACTCATAATTATTATATTTTTTCTCTCACAAAAAGTCAAAAAAACTAAAAAGTCATTTCCAAACAAGGCTTTTTAGCCCCCATGCTAAAGTAACCAAAAAGTCAAAAAGCCAACTCACTTCTCAAACGAACCCATAGAATTATTTTGAGAGCTCAAATAAATAAATTACTATTTTAAGCTAAGAGCAAAGATCAAAAGAATATTTTATCCTTAGCCTTAAAATAAAGATATAATAAATGTTTTACTAACAACTGCACAATGAATATTTGTTGAAGATCAAATAATACCAAAATAATATAATTTTAATACATATTTTTATATATTTTCACATATTTTAATATATTTTTTATATATACATATTTGTCTCATTGTGCTCTCAACCATTGAATTATGCGACACACATGAAATTAGAAACATGATCCAATGGTTTAGATTTAGAATGCAATGAGGCAAGGCCAAACAAAAACTTTAGACTGATCGACCAATTAACAAGTTAAACAAGCCAATCATATTCCGTTTTAAAAATATTATTAAAATGAATGAGACAGACGAATTTTATTGAGATAAAAAATGGTACCAATATAAGGAACTATCTGGCCATCTCACATGGACCATGGTGTTGGATGTTGGGATTTCCATTCGTTTATTGGTGTTTGGTTGCATTCTTTTGTGGTCATTTTCTCTACACCTTTTTGGAGGCTTCTTCTTCAGCCATCCTCTTCATTGTTGAACACACACACTCTTTTTATCTATGTTTTATGCTAAACGTGTTGCACTAACACTCTCTCCCATTGAAAAGATAATCAAACGGTGACATGTTTTCCAATTCATAATCATCCAAATCTCTCTGCACCTACAAAACAATGACTCAACTTCTTTCTCAAAGCTGTTGATGTTAATGGCTTGCCATTCTAAGGTAACCATTATAAATTAATTTGGATCATCCAACTTTGTTGATGTGTATTAGTAAGGCCTAGTTTGGAATAAGTGTACTTTTTGACTTTTTATGAAATATGGGTTGGGTTTGGGTTGGGTTTGAAGTGATGTATTAGAGAGGTGATGCGACTTATTTTTGACTTTTTGTCTTTTTTCAATCTTCCCAAACTAGACCTAAATAGAGATCAAACACCTTCCTACCTTCATGTCAATCTCCAAGACTGATGTTTTACGTACGTTGAAAATGTATTTTAACATTTAGATGCATATATATTAGACATTGGTGCAAATACTATGTTTTTATAATTTTATATTTAAATTTTTAGATAATTTGACAATTGAGGTGCAGTCTGATGAATAAGAAAAAAAATTAGTAGTTTTGGACAATTTTTTGTAATTGGACGTAGCATTTATTGGAAATGAGTTGCATTCTTGTTCAATTTGGACAAAAATTACGTTAAGGAATTATTTAAATACAAATTAAGTAGGAGACTAATTTGACATAACTAAAATATGAGACACTAAAATAACATAAACTAGGGAATTGTGTTATTTTAGGATGTTAGTTTACACAATTATAAATATATATTTGTTTATTTAAATAAATTTTAGTATTTTTATTTAGGAATAATTACATTTTTACCCCCTGTGGTTTCACGCATTTACACATTACCTCCCTAACTTTTATAAATGTACTCGTAAATACCCTATAGCTTGGAGTGATGTGCAAAAGTGACATTTTCTGCTAAATTTAACAATGCGTGGGCCAAATGTATCAGAGAAGCATGTTTGCACTAGGATTAAGTGATTGGCGCTAAAATTGGAGCTTGCATTGACTAATTTGCCCTTCCAATCTCTTAGCATTCTAGACCTATATTTCCTACTCTAAAGATTACAACCAAACAATATAAAAACAAAACTAGTCCCTCTTTCCTTCTCTCTCTCTCCCCTACCTAAGTTTCTAATTATCTCCCCCCATATCTCTCTCTCTCTCTCTCACATGTAAAAGTTGAATCAAATGTGATGGGAACTGGTTTGTCTCATCTCTTCCCTTACTTTAACTCGGCTACGACGACGAACCGGTCGCCCCACTACCAACCGGAGCTGATCTTCCCTTGTGGTAGATTTCATATATATATATATATATATACAGAGAAAGAGTGGATGAGTGGGGGAAGGTTTTGATCAATCGATAGTGGAAATGGGGAGAGGAACCACAGTCAGTGGTGTTGTTGATAGTCGATGAGAATTTGTTTGCCATTAATAAGGGTTGAAAAAAAAAAGAATTTAAGAGAGATAAAGTTATGGTAGTAAGGGGTGATTTGGGATATTCTAAATAAGTGTATTTTTTAACTTCTTATAAAAAGATGTGTAGAAAAGTAAAGAGAAGATATTGATTGATGTGACCTAAAAAAGATAAAAAGATGAACTAAAATAAGATATGACAAACAAGGCCTAAATTGCCCATGTGCCAACAATTTCCCAATCGTGTACCTCTTATCAAAATCTTTGTCGTACCCAAAATCGGTTTGCTTTCCACAGGAAATAACACTGCTTGATCGCTTCAGCTTAATCTGTTGAGAATTCTTGTGTTGTTGATGTTGTTGCTGAGAATGTCTCTTGCGTTTTCTTTTGATTCGAATTTGTCATGGTTGTTGTCGTTGACGATGGTTTGGTGTTCTCTTTGTGATTTTTGTTGACTATCATGATGGTGGGTGTGGCGACGGCGGTGGTGTTGCTATTTAAACCACTCAACTCGGTGGAAGACAAAAAGCTACCCATATTTTAGTTTTTGTCAAATATGAAAAATTCATAACTATAAAGAGATCAAACCCACCCAATAATCAAATAGATAACACTAATCATATACACAAAGAGGTATGTCTCTGTGTGTGTATATATATATATTGAGAGAGAGAGAGAGAGAAATGTAATGGGAGTTAAGGAATAAAGTCTGGAGCTGATGGAAGGAAGAAAGGACAAAGGAGAGGATAGTCAAAAGAGACTACTATTAAAGAATAAGAAGATCATGATGAAGAGAATGAGAACGAAAGAGGAGATAAACAGAGACAGAGGAACCACGATCGGTGATGTCATTAGGATATGCCTTGGGTGGGAGGGACTATGTGGAGAAGATGGTGCCTCATAGTGGCTATGTGGATGTAATGCCATTTGGGAGTGGTTAGGTAGCCCATTTTAAAAGAGAGAAAGTTATGGTAGTAAAATGGCATTCATAAGAAAATTGAAGAAAAAAATAAAGGCATTCTAGTCTTTTTATTAATTTCGTCACATCTCATTATTTTTGCGCAGCACTCCAAACCACAAAGGATTTATGAGTACATTTATAAAAGTCAAGAAGATAATGTGTAAACGAGCGAAATCACATAGGGTAGAATGTAATTATTCCATTTATTTTTACATTATAAACTTTTAACTTTTATCTCAAGGTCAACTGAGGTGTTAATATAACAAAGGCCTCGTTTGGGAACAGGCTAATTTAGTAACTTTTTAGCTATTTGGCTAAAATATGAGCTAAAAAAAACTAGTATGTTTGGGATGACTTTTTGGCTTTTTATGAAAAATGTGCAAAAAGTAGAGAGAAAAGAGAATCTTTGACTTTTTGGTATGAGTTATTGACTTTTTGGCTAATTTAGTAACTTTTTGGCTAAAAAGTTCAATTGCCAAACGAGGCTAAAGTATGGATGTAATCAAAAGACAGGATAAGTCAACGGTTTATATGTTGTAACAATTGCCTCATCATCAAGCATTGTAGTGCTTGATTTGATACAAACGTAAAGATAATACAAAGGTCTCTTAGACCTGTAACTTTCTTTTTGTCTTTTATACGTTCAAACTAACTAAAGTATTGTTCGGTTCTCATGATTAAGACATAAATCTGAACAACCATGAATGAAAAAAAAAAATTTGAAAGAAAACAATGTTTGAAACATATTAGTATAAATATAAGTTTTTTTTTTTTTTTCATCTATAAATTCCTCTCTAAATTCATGATTCAAACACAATTTAAAATATAAAGACTCAGAGATTTTTTTTATTATAGAAATTCACAAAATGAAAAACTGACAAAATTGTATTAATTTTAGATGAGACTCACACTTCATTTGAATAAACTTCGTAATTTTTTATATTTATATTTATATTTTTTATTTTATATTTACAAGATAACTATGACGGTAGAGCCTCATGGATTTGTAACCAACCACCAAATCATAACAAATGGCAGATTTTTAGTGTTTGGAATGGGATCAACTGGATTTGAAGCCGGACGAGCACTACTTGGTTGACCATGACACACTGATTTCCAAGTTTTTTGGACAATGTTCCAAATGGGGGAATTTGTTTGGCCTGCAATTGTAAACCATAGCAATGACTTTACTTGAATCAATACCCCTGCTAATTAAATTACTGCATAGAAAGGCAAGCAGCCTCACCAGCTTCCACAAACATTTGCTTGCTATCATACAATTTATTAATAAAAATAACCAAGCTTAGAATAATATGAAGTCACCAAGATATAATACTGACCCACAGTGCCGTACCGGGGCATGGGTCAACAAGGCCATGGTGTAGGGCTCTTCAAAATAGATTTAAAAAAGGAGCTCCTTTCTATTATGATTTAGTATAATATATTAGCTATGTTTTAAGTTTAAAAAAATAAAAAATAAAAAATCCAAACTAACTTAAAATAAATTGACCCATTAAAAAATTAAAAGGTCCATCCAAAAAAATTAACATTGATATCCATTGAAAATATATCCAAAAAAGGGTCCTCCTATTATCGTTTGTTGTAATATATTAGGTATATTTTAAATCCAAAAAAAAATTAAGGAAGACCCAAACTAACTTAAAATAAATTGACCCATTAAAAAATTGAAAGGCCCATTTAAAATAATTAATATTGTTATCCATTGAAAATGATTTTGCAAAAAAATTAGATTATGCAAATATGATTGATTTATTTGCTTCTAAAAATGCAAGAAGAGCGAGAATTAAGCGATACTTATTAATTGTTGTAATGTAATACTAAGTATTTTTTGTGATTTTCACACAAATTTTATCTTTTATCTTCATTTTTTTTTTCATTCAATGAAAAAAAAATATATATATATATATGAAGGACTCTAAAAATTTATTAATTAATTATTGATTTTGAGCACCGAAAATCTCAGGGTCTGCTGACCCATCTAATGAGAGTGAGACTTGACATGAGTGACTTGACTTTGATTCTGTAAAACTAGAAAATAAAAATAAAAATTATGCTAATTTGATTCTAAACTATGAGTCATTTTCACTTTGATCAAATTATAATTTTTTTTCCAGTTAAGGGGTAATTTATAAATTTCAATGATTAATTTTTTTACTCTGGTCTTTAAAAACTTAAAACGTAACCTAATCTCAAAACCATCCCCACTCCTTAATCTCTCATACTCTTAAAAAGCAACTTTTTAACAAGCAAACAAAAATGAAAATTATAGTGGGTATGGATCATTTGAGGACTAAAGAGATTGTGAATTGAATTGTAAAGGTGTTGGCTTTTTTGGTTTTCGAAGGTTATTATTGTGATTTTGAGCATACCAGTAAGGATCAATCAGTCCTTACAGAATATTAATTGCCAACCAATTATCAGACGATTGTGTTTTAGTTTTTTCAGCCTCAATGAAGAAGACTTTTACTGGCGGCTTTGTTTAGGAGACTTAAGCAAACAATGATTAAATGAAGAATAATTGTAGTATTTCATCAAGTAAAATGAAGACTTACAGAAATCCAAATCAGCCTCATAGAGGTTTACAGTATCAAACTACTTGAAACTACTCCTATGAACGAAGTGCAGTGCAAGAATTTGAAGTACAGAAATGTAAAGAACAAGAAATGTAAAAACTGGAAGGAAAAACAAAGTAGATAAAACTGATTTTTTGGATCTGAGTCTGGGGGGTCTTTCTGGGACCTTCTTTGCTATTTATACTTCTCAATGATAACCATCGAAATGCATTTCTAACCGTCGAATCATCCCTCCATGATCGCTGATCCTGCTGCCTTACAGTTAGCTCCACTATGTCATATCTGCAGTTAGGCTTCTCTCATGATTTTGAATTTAAATATGAGTAACCGTTGAAGCCACGTCATTTTGCATCTCCTTGCTGATCCAGTGCTATGTAGATCCACAATAACCAATACTAACTGCCACATGTGTGATTACGATTGAAGATTTGAATTGTCTTCCTGTATTGCTTTTATCCTGTCACGTGTCAAACTGTGATTAGCTTATACAAAATATGTAGTCAACAAAAGGCTAGTGAAGTAGATCAAGGTTGGAAGAAAGAACGTGGTCAATTTTAAGCGTCAGAAGAGGGAGAAAAGATGGGCTGATTGTGAGAATATATTATGAATATACATAACGACATGAGAGATTATGAGAGAAAAGAGAAAAATAATAGGAGAGTGAAGATTCAGGTATTATGAGACAATATTTTAAGAGATGATTTAGCAAGTTATGATTATAAGGAACTATTTATTTATTTAAATTTTTTTAGATTAGGGACCATAGTAGGAAAAGACCTATAATATGGAGAAAAGGAGGGTAAAAGTGTGATTTACCTAAGAGAAATTGGGTAAATGAGTGGTGTAGTAATTATATGGTTTCAATTAAACTATAATAAAATTAATTGAAACATTTGGGCAAGAAAGGGGATGTAGCTCAGATGGTAGAGCGCTCGCTTAGCATGCGAGAGGTACGGGGATCGATACCCCGCATCTCCATTTTATCTCAACTGTTCATGTTCATGTTTCAATAAAAAAAAATTTCTTCCTTTTTTTAGTAAACTATATATACAAATTTTTATGTATTCTATATTCGGGAAGGTTTATACTACACTACTCTCCATCATGAGATTTTAAAGGCTTTGAAACTATGATGCGTCTTCTCTATCTGTTTTTTGATTAGCATATAATTTTACATATATATAATAAAAATAATGTATACATCAAACTCTGTGTAATTTTTTTTTTTTAATGAATAGCATTTTTTGTTTGTCTGAACTACTATGAAGTTTGTGTCTCAGGGTTTGGGTTTATTTGATGCCTGGGCTCGGGGCATCTCATGGTTGATGAATGATCTTCACTTGCTTGACAAAATGCCAATGAGAATATATATATATATACATATTTTTATTTTCTAAAGATGGTGTTTGGTGAAATAATTGGTCCCAAGAGATCTATTTGGTTTGTTTTGAAGTCATTGTATTGATACTTTGGACTTGGGTATGAGTTTGTAATAGTTTTTTGGATGGGCAGGTTTCATAATCAATGTTTAGAATCATAGACAACTCAATTTAAATTACATAATCCTTTTACTAAATTTGCATTTCTTTTTTCTTTTTTGGGTCAGGTGTGATTTTTCTATCCTTTTCTTATGATTTGGGTGCCAGCTGATTGAACTTCCATGGATACACTACTTGAGGGTACAATTACTTAGAAGGATTTGTACTCAGCATATATAAAAGAATGTGAATATTCATTGGTGATATGATATGACATTTTATTCATGGGATTAGAGAATATATAGATATGACTAGTGTTATAAAGATGCATTACACTCACATAGTTAAGAGTAATTTTTGCCATTTCTTTGGTATGCTTAGTTACTGTTTGTGTGTGTGCACACATGTGAAAGAAAGACCAAAGAGGATATTGTTCAGATGATTAGCGGAATGATGAAGTTTTCCCCTGAAAAGTTTTGGATAACATTGTTTGTCAATTTCTTTTGAGGTGTTCATGGTTGTATTGTAGTAATCACTCTGCCTATGCTTTAATTTTGTAGAACTAGGAAGAAGTGCTTGTTTTCAGTTTGACCGTGCTTGCATACTCAGATAGTTAGATTGTTTTCTTCATTAATATTTCTTATTGCTGAAATTGCAAATTCTTTGGTGGTGTCTGCATTTTTGTATTTAAGAGTATGCTAGTGGTTCCCACTGATGTATTCTCAAAAAATTAAGACTACAACAACCACGCAGTTTTCAAAATTCTGCATATCAAATCCCAATCGATAATTTTACCCAACAGAAAGCTTTACCGGTAAGAAAGTCTTGGCCTTTGTGCTCACTCAAATTGTTATTTACTGAGTGGAACTATGAAACACTATGAAATTCAGTTCTGACCGAGTACCCTCTTTCCAGTGCTTTCACCCTTTATTATCAAATATATTTTCTTTATGAATCTCATGCTCGGAACTACCTGTCTATTACTACTATAATCATCCCATTATGTGATCAAGCTGATAGCCTCAATTACTTGTATTTTCAAAACAAAACAAAAAAAGTTAAATTTTATTTTCAGGAATCATTCGTAGTTTCACCAAATCAAATTTGCCCATTCTTGTAGCAGTTACATGTTGGTGTTGGCCAGAAACATGGACTGTTTGATCAATAGCTTGTGTTAATAGAAAAAGTTTGATTATTTTCACATGATCAAGTTGATAGCCTCAATTACTTGTATTTTCAAAACAAAAAAAAAAAAGTTCACTTGTATTTTTAGGAGTCGTTCCTAGTTTCATGAAATCAAATTTGCCCATTCTTATAGCAGTTAGATGTTGGCGTTGGCTAGAAACATGGATCGTTTGATCAATAGCTTGTGTTAATAGAAACAGTTTGATTATTTTCACATGTTGTGTTTTGTCTTTTTCTTTGATGCATTTTGATCAATAGCATATACTTCGGCAACTATTTCATGTACTTGAATCACACATATATTATGTCGTCATAAACATAATACGGTGACTGTATATTAATATCAAATGGATTCAAAATCTTTTGTTGCCTCATCACTTCCTTGAGCATTATCACAATCCAAACACTTCTTGGGAATTCTAATCTCTAAAACAGTGTCATTGTTCACATATGCCTCGATTTTCCTCCAATCTGCATTTTCTGGCAATTCAAGCCTCCGAACATACCCGTATTCCCACCAGTGGCCACTTCGCCAGTCCCTTGTCTTGGGTTCTTTTTGGTTCTTCCATTGCCCACTTATCTCCACAACCTTCCCTTGTTCAACATAGACTTGAACACTACTTTTCCCAATTCCTGTTATGACAAATCAGCAGTGTCAAGAAAATTCACCATCTCTGCTAAATCTGAAATAAACCTCTAGAGTTTCGGCGTATTTCAAATTCCATTCTTAGAAGATTTCCAGGTGCAATCATGAGTCAAGGAATAAGGCCTCTAACTCCATAGGTTTTCAGTTCAATTGAAAAGATTGAATGAAAGGTCTGAAAATTATTCAAACAACCATCCAAACGCTTACCTGGTAGTTCTGCTTTTAGAACATAATCAGCATCGGTTAGAAACCAATCAACAGTGCTCTGACTGGCGCTCCGGAGTTTCGATAATAATACATCAGACTCAAACTCCCATAGTGGGAAGGCATCAGATGGATCAAAGAATTTTCCGAACAACAATGGACTGAAGAGCGAGCCATCACCAAAAACTGTATGCTGTGTTGGACTACTTGTGGACATCAAGGTTTCAAACACACCTTCTGTCATTGGAACACACCATTTCTGTGGATTTCGATCTTCTGATCGAACTTCAAGCTGCCTGCAACTAGTCATTGGGGATAAAAAAAATTCAAGGAATTAGAATTGTGATGAATGATGTTTGAGATGGTAATAATATGGTTCTTATAGTGTGAATGATGTTTGAGATGGTAATGGTATGGTTCTTATAGTGTGAATTGCTCTTTGGAAAAGCAGAGAACAAATTCTCTTGGAATATATGATGGGCTGCAAAGCTGGAGGAATATTTCTTTATAGATCTTTCCCATTGGCAAGAAAGGGTTGTGGCAGGTTGATTCTTTGTGCACGGCAAATCAGTGGCTGTCTTCTTCTATGGAGCATGTGGCAAAGCAGGAGAAGCAATTTGCTTGTCAGGGCATACAAAACATGTTCATTCAGGTACTTAATTTTGTTAATCTCTCTCTCTCTCTCTCTCTTTAGGTCGTGTTGGATCTTGGCTTGTAGAAGGAAAAGAAAAGAAAAGAAAAGAAAAGAAGAGGGAAAAAAGAGAAAAAATTACCTTTTCATTTTCCTTTCTTCCCCCTAACAAATTCAAGATCCAAACATAGCCTCAAGTAAATTTGTGCAAGATTTTTGCAGTCTTGCTTTTACTCTTATTTCTGTTCTAGAAAGGAAAAATTGGGTAATTTTCCTGACACTTACTCATGTAAGATGCACAGGCTTTTACTAGTCCTGTAAATTAAGGATCCTGTAGTAAGATGCATGATTAGATGTTTATTAGTATTGTAAACTTAATAATATATATAAAATAAAAAGTAAGAACCTATTGCAAGCAAAGTTGTGTGAAAGAAATACTTTCAATGTATTAGATGTTTATTGTCATGACTCATAAAGCACCTCCTCTCACTAACTTTTTTCCCATAACTTTTTAAGTTTTTCTAATTTTTTTTTGAAATAAAGTCTGACAAAGTACAGATAAGCTATGCGCAATGCAATGGCTTTGGTTCATGGCATCTCTAATAACTACTTTAGAAGAAAGCAGGATTGGTATCAGTTTGGTGGATATTTGAATTTCTGGCCATGGAAATACTGTGTGTGGCACTAGGTAGTGGGACCTAGCCATAAGTAGTGTTTTCCATCAAAGATGATTAATAATCTTATCATGTACTGCCAATCTTATCACGGGTAAAGGACCGATTTGGAGCGGTTTACAGATTCCATCATTTTTAGCTTTTTTTTTTTTGTTGAACATTTTTTAAAAATGATAGGTTATAAGGATCTTTCTGTTGTATCCACTGAATGTACAGCACTGTCGCTAATTGGCACATGAATGAGTTTGAATAAAGATGTAATTGTCATTAGCAGAACAATTTTACTTTCATGATTGTCTTTTGAAGCTTGGAAATTCCGGTGATGACTTGTGAAGGCATAATTGATTGAAGTCTTTATGAAGAGGGGCTAGAATTGTAAATTCAATATTGCTTTGCTGTATGATGAAATAGTCTTTGGGTAAAGTTTCTTGTTATTTCATAAGTCTTTATGAAGAAAAGCTAGAATTGCAAATTCAATATTGCTTCATTGGGTCATTTAAGTAGTCTTTGCGTAAGAGCGTTTTGTATTGATTTAGAAGAAATAGCCCACGGGTAAACCTTAAGGAGGGGCTGTGTCCAGCTCTATATTGACTTCTACCTTTTGGGAAATAGGGGGTCCCTGTAAGGGGTGCTTTGCCCTCAGGGGCCTCATCACTTCTTCATGATTTAAATCATTTGTTTTGGAGAAAAACTATTTATGGAGTCAACCCCATTTGATGGGATTTAAAACTTTGTTTGGTTTGGTTTTGGTTTTGTAGGTTCTTTAAGAAGATTATTCATAAAACAATCAAGTTGATAGTATATCAATAATCACATGATTGAATCATTTTTGTTTAGCATTTTATTATCAAAATCACATTTGTTATTTATATCGTTTAAAACAAACATGATATGATTTTTTGACTAGTAATATGTGATCAATTTAATTTGTTACACAAATGATCTTTTCGACGAGTCTTGCAAGATAAACAATTCAAATTATGGAGTATCCAGGATGGGGGCAGACTCATCGAGGGGCACAAGGCAAAACGGAAGACCTTATTCCGTTTGTTTGGACATGTAAAGTTGTGTTTGAAATATATGTAGACACATAAAATAAGAAAAACTACCAATAAATGGTATTGGAGTTATTAAAACAAAAAACTAAAAAATCTGAACAATTTTTTAAATTACACTAGAAATGGAAAGTGCAAAAAAAATTTGTAAAAATATCATATTTGCATTGCTTTTTTATGTTTTTGCCCCTCTGTCTCTTCCCTTTTCCATTTCTCTTCCTCGTCCTCTATTGCCCTATTTGTTGACCACTCCTCTTCACCCTTTCTTGTAGCTAGCTACCTATATTGTCACGATCCAAACACGCCCCTATAGATTTAGCGTCGTAACCGGCCAGCAATCCTTGAATTACCAAAGGCCTCTGAACAAATTAACACATAATAAAGGGTTGTGGAAGTATATATATAAAACATACATAGTCCATTGAGTTGTGTAGACATACGACAAAAATTTAAAACTTTATATACACACATGTGATGTCATATTTACATTAGTCTTACGTCACTCACATATACAGATAAAACCAAAATGGGACTTAGCCCAATATATAGATAAACAGAAACTTGTTCAAATTTCACGAAAAGAAACAATGTCTTAAACTTAGTTCACAAAACACGACCACATGACTTTTTCTGGAACCTTCTCGGGAGGCACAAAGGTTGGCCAACAAAGCAGAATTTCAGGCAATCATCATGGAGCCTCGTAGCGCCCCTAATCACCTACATACATAAATAATAGAGTCAGCGGGACCCCAGTGAATAATAACAGAGTAAAGAGGTTTAACTGAATGATGTCCTATATCAGATTCGGAAATCATATTCATTTTTATTTTAGAAACAGAAGCAGATTCACATTCGTATTCTTGTTTAAATCATATACAGAAATCGAGGTTCGTGCTTAATCATACGTAGTACAACCATTAGCGCCAACAGAACAGATACAAAACAGATGGTGGTTATAAGTAACCAATTCCATAAAGGAACCTCCGGATCCGAGTACAAGATAATAGATATGTTGAGCTCCATAATAGCGCCTCCAGTACAGGTAACAGATTGCAGACATATTAAGTTCCATAATGGAACTTCTGATACCGGGTAACGGCTAACATATATGTTAAGAATGCCACGAATACATTTCAGAAATTGGACAATCATTCATTGTACAGAACATAACATTTCAGAAAACAAATCTTATTTCATCATACAAAAAATAAATAAAGTTGAACATACCTTTACTAAGTTATTACTCACAATTGGTTCCAAAAGCAGACAAATCAAATAGCTTACGGGGCGTGACCTACACAAATAGATAACAGATACACATTGAAACACACGCTTAGAAAATACTTAACTTATTACGTTTCGTTCTTAGTGTGTTTCTAAGTCTTATCCTCATTATTATGTCTTAATTAGGGCTTAGGAATGCCTATGATACAATGAGGATGCTAAAATGTGCTTTGGAACACTTGGCCAAATTTTCAAAAACAGGGCAGTCCGCTCGAACGCAACATCTATCGCTCGAGTGGTCTCCAAAGTCTGTAAAAGTACTGGTTGCATAATTTTTCCGTTCGAAGGACGTTTGATGATCGCTTGAGCCAAAGACTAAGTAAACAGGATCCTCACTCGAGAGCAACTTTGATCGCTCGAGCGGTCTGCAAAGTTCTGTAAAACTTCTAGGAGCATAAATTTTACGCTCGAGTTTAGACTTCTTCGCTAGAGCGAAGGTACAAAACAAATGGTGGTCGCTCGAACTCAACTTTTATCACTCGAGCGGTGATACAAAATTCTGGAATTTCTAGATTACACTCCCAGCTTCAAAAACTCAATTTTAAGGCAACAAAATACATTCTTTTGGGCCAAAACTTAAGAAAACACTTATAAATTCATGATATATGTAACGGCCCTAAAATGCAAGTCATGATTATATTAATTGAATTATGTGTTAATGAATGATTATATGACTTAATTGTGCATATCTGTCCAAATTAGGAAATTATCTATTGTGATTATGGCTAAATACTGAAATTGACGGCCTAAATGGATTTAAAAACTGAAATTGAATACATGGATATGCTAATTAGAATTTTTAGAATCATTTGGGAAGTTTAATTGAAATTTGATTTTTTCTGATTCATTAAGGTGTGTTTAAGTCTCGTTATGGTATTAAGCCATCTAGATATGGATATATGACATAAGCTTCTTTATGAGCTCAAACTCATCTTTTAGAGAGAAAATCTGAGAGAGAGAGAGAGAGAGAGAGAGAGAGAAATCAAGAGAGAAGTGAACAAAGGAAAGAAGAAACTCAAATTTGGCTTGGATTTATCAAGATTATGCAAAATTAAGTGTCTATGAAGACTCTAGGTAAGGATTTACCTCTCAAACCTTGAAGATCATATGGTATAGAGTTGGATTTATAGGCGATTGCATGTATTTTGCTTAAATGTGGTAAAAAGAAGATGATTCCTTACATATATACATGAATATGTTGGATTTTGAAGTTATATGTTACATGCATTCTAGAATTGAGTTATATTGAAGTTCAATCTTATAATTTGAAAGTTATGGAAAGGAATTTGGACTAGATTTTTATATGCATGAAGCGTTTATACATAAACATTGAAGAAAAATGATGAAAGTAATGAGTTCATGGAAGTTAAGAACTTGATTTGGAAAATTAAAAAGGAGTTTGATTTATTTAAGTTGAGAATTGAATTATAGTTCATGAATATTTCCATGTTTTGACATTGTATTGCATGAGTTATCTAACTTGAGAAGGAAACCTCCATGAATTTCAATGATTGAAGCTCAAGATTATGATTTTGATATTTTGATTCAAGGATTTTGGGGCTTTTGTATGAAATGTGAGCTGCAATTTAAGGTTATGATTTTTGTTTAAAGCTAAGTATGTGAAATTAAATTCAACATGTTTTTATGAATTTTGAGCTTTGAAAAATATGGATTTGGAATTAGATTTGAAAACATTGAGTTCCAAATCAAAGACAGATTTTGGATTGCTCCAGGCCCACGATTGCCTATTCTATTTGAATTCACATGTGTGGATTGGGCATCCCATACGTGAGGTTTTGATCAGGCTCAGATTTTGTTTTCGCATCATTTTTTTTCTACTTTTCTGAGCCATCGTTTGCATAATTTTAAAGAGTTTTTCATGTGTATTTGCATTATATGCATCTAAATGGATTACAAGAACAAAATGTTAGAACCGAATGAGTGAACAATGAATAGAAGCTGAATAATTAAGTAACTGATTGAATGATTGAATTGTATATTGAGATATCGTGCTTAAATTGTTTTCTGAATGATCCTTAGTGTAACTTTAGCACATATTTCAAGGAGCCCATTGTGAGTGATAATGTTGTAAAGCTATGTTCAATTATAATTATTTTCTGAATGATTAAATGTACTGCTTTCTAAAATGATATTGTTTACTAAATGAATATTTGTCCCATTTTATGAACTGTACTCGTGGCATCCATAGCAACTGAATGTTACTGCTACTGCTACTATTATAGAGATCTCTGTCAGCTCCAATTTTTGGAACTACTGTTTACTGTTTAATGGTCATTAACTGACTGTTCAGTCTTTTAAGACCTACTGTATTGTACTACTATTGGATGTACCACGTATGCCTGCTATGATTACTACATGACAGATATGATATGAAATATGAGATACTGATCGAATAAATGATCTACTGATGCAATTGACTGTTTTAAATACTGAAAGAACATTCATTCTTAATCCCTTTACACATTTGTTATTCACTGAGCTATAGCTCACAGTCTATTATATATATGTAGGTGGTCAAGTACTGGATCAATCGCAACAACGTTGACTCGAAACCTGTTTTTGTCAAGCTAACTATTGTGCCTCATTGCGAGGTTCCGAACGATTGCATGTTAGGATTTATTGGGTGATTCAGATTCACCCTTTTGACATTGTATTTATGAGATAAGAATGTTTATTGAGTTTTTGTTAACTGCTTTTTGGCAATGGGATCTAATTTCCTAGCTTGTGTTTTGTTTGTACATGTGTGTTATGGACTTAATTTGTTTGTGAAATCACATATATATGAAATTTGTTTTATTCATTTAAGTTTTCACAGCTCATTGGACATTATTTTTCATTATTGATTGGTTTCTGCTAGCCCTTATTATTGTTTTATTATCATTATTGTTAAGCAGGCCTTTGGTAATCAGAGATTAGTGACCGGTTACGATGCTAAACCTATAGAGACCGGTTTGGGTAATATATCATGAATCAAAACCCATTTCACAAAATTAAGCCCAAAAGCTTTGCCAATTGTGTTAGATTTAAACTCAAAACTCATGATACAACACATGCATGTAATTTCTTTGAACTTTCTTTGAACTTAAACCCTTCAAATCATGCTCAAATAAGCTAAATTGATGGAAAACATGATGAAGTCTCAAAATTAAGTTGAAAACATGACATGCATGGAAGAATTACTTGAAATCAACTTAAAAATACTATGAAATGCACATGTATGCTCTAATCTTTTTATTTTCTACTTCATTAGTTCATTTCATGCATTAATCTTTCATTCTCTTTTGAATTTACAAATTGAGTGAGCCAACTACATAATTTAAGGGTTGGATTTCGAACCTACAAATCTCAATTCCTTGAATTCTTGAGTGATTCTTCCCAATTTCTTAAATTCTAGCTAAGTTCAAGCCAATTCCCTAGCAATCTCCCTAGTTGAGCTTGATTTCTTTCTTATTCATCTCTCAAACAGTTGTTGGCTTAAAAATGAGAAAATGAAGAAGTCTAGAATGAGCTAGTGGAGTCCAATTATCCTTATATAGGCTAGTTAATCAAGTATAATTAAAAATAGATAATTAAGCTTAAGTTTAATTGAATATGTTAGACCTATTTATTTTGATGATTTATTTAATTATGTTTTTAATTTATTTGGAAAAGAAAAATAGAATCAAAATTTATTTTGATAATTTATTTGAAAGAGAAAAATAAAATCTAAAATTTATTTTGATGATTTATTTAATTATATTTTAATCAAAATTTATTTTGATGATTTATTTGAAAGAGAAAAATAGAATCAAAATTTATTTTGTCTCATTATTTTTCACCTAAACCTTTATCCTAATGTTGTTAGAGTGTATTTAATATTTGATTAAATCAGGAGTTCAAATAGTCCAAAACAAAGGTTCAAACAGCCTAGCACAGCAGCAGGTCAAAAGGTTCAAAAGGTTCAAGTGGAAGATATTCAAATTAGTAATGATGGAAGTACAACGGCTATAAACGGCTATAAAGGTTCAAAAGGCCAAAAGGTTCAAATGGAAGATATTCAAATTTGTAATGGTAGAGTAGAATATATTCAAATTGGTAATGATGGAAGTACAACGGTTATAAACGGCTATAAATTCAAATGACTACAACGGCTGTAAACGGCTATAAATTTAAATGAATACAACGGCTATAAACGACTATAAATTTCATTATATGTACCAAAGCCTCTAATGTAAACAAGTTACAAAAAACCTAAAAATATTCTTTGATCTATAATCACTCACATATTTTCTCAGAAATTATACACTGAGCTTTATAGCATTAAGCTCATCTTTCCTGTGTGAGATTTACAGAAAAATCAAAACTTCATTTTATATATCTATCTTTGAGAGATATTTATTGTAACTTTTCTTTAAAAGCAAAAATACCATTTCATCTTGTAAAAGTATTGCAAACACTGTGTTCTTAAAATCTTTAGAGTAATTGTGAATCACCTAAGATTTACAAGGGTTTGTGCTTGTGAAGTTTGTGTAAAATCCGTGGAGGATTGCTCCATTTGTAAAGAGGTTGCTAGCACCCCTACGAAGCTAGAAGATAGTGAAAAATCTCAAGTGAAACTTGAGGAGTGGATGTAGGCTTGATTGAAGTCGAACCACTATAAATCTGTTTGTCTCATCTTCCTTAATCTCTTTACTTTCCTACTACTGCTGTATCTATCTAATATTCATGTGCTAATCATTTGATTTACCCTGTATGTTAGTTATCTAATATTCATGTGCTAATCATTTGATTTACCCTGTATGTTAGTTATGCTTCATTGTTATTTTGCATGACCATTTACTGATAAGTTCATCATTGTGCTTATTATTAATTTGTTGTGCTAGTAGTTAATTTTATTGGGATATTATTAATTTTAATTTGTAGAAACCTAATTCACCTCCCCTCTTAAGTTGCTTTTTGGGTAACAGAATATAATCTAATTATTTAATTCTGAATCGAATTTTAATTCAACCTACTATAAAATTCTAAAAATGCTAATTAGCATGTATTCTCAGCCAATTTCACATTATGTGGCTGATAAGGCCTTCAATTTGCAAAAACAAACAGAATTATGAACAGATATTTCTATAATAGACAGTTGTAATGCAAATACCATATAATTTATGCAATTAACGTAGAATTTTATCTTAATTACGTATTAGGTATTCTTAATCATGTATTATAGGCTAATCACAAATTGGGGTTATTACATATATCATGCCATTGCTTGATTCTCACTTATGCTTTTCCCACTTTAGTCACCTACTCCGTCTACCAAATCTAGAGAACCTTGCTAAGAAAACATAGTAGAATAGTTTGATTATGCTGTTATCGCTAATCCAAAATCCATCATTGTTTAATTGTCTTACTCTATCATTGCTATTAATGCCATATTCACCAATAATGGTATCTTTGCCAAAGATATCCGTATCGACTCCTTCACCTATCTCTAATTGAGGTTCTTTGAGTTTTGGGGGAAGGGGTTAGGATATGCAATGATTTTCAAAGGTAATGAGGGTGTGGGGAGGGTATGAGGAATAATGGAAGAGGGATAAAAATGGGATGATTCTATTTATACACTACCAATCCTTTCAGCACACACAATTTCCTTAAAAAAATTTATTACACCTTTATCCTTTTAGTCAATTACATTTTTAACCTTTACACAAATTTCTCAATCCACACAACCCACCTTCACCAGCCCTAACCCTAACCCTAACCCTAACCCTAACCTTAACCCTAGCCGCCGCCATCGCCGTCGCCGCTGGTTACCCATCGCCGTCGTAACTATTACCAACTTCGCCTGCACCTTCTCTGCCATCCCTAGCTTTGACGACCTACCCCTACCATCTCCATTTCCCCCATCCCAACTTTAATCTTAAACCCTAATATCTCCTCACTGCCATCGCTGTTAAGCTGGCGTCGTCTCTCCGAATCTTCTTCAGTCGGCGCTTCTCCTCTGTAAATCCCCACTCCATTGGTATTCCCTCCCCCATTGCAGCTCCTCTCTCTTCCTATTTCAATCCATAGCCTCTTCTTCTTCTTCTTCTTCTTTTCAAACCCTAGATCTGGAAACCCAAATCTCTCTCTCTCCGTCTCCCCTCTCTCTCTCTCGCAACTGCAGATCGAATGATAGAATGGATGAGCTAAGTCGCGCTGTGGAGGAGATCTAGATAATGGGTAGCGGTAGAGGGTGGCCAACAGGCTGAAAAGAGATGACAGGGGTGGGGGAGATGCGAGTGGCAGTGTCAGCGATGAAGGACAATGTAGCGCGAGTTGTTGCCGTAGCATAAGTGCAAATGGATTGGGGATGGAAATAGAAGAGGGAATGGCATCGGTCGAAGGGTGATGGGGGCAGAAATAGGTCCATTGGTATTCCCTCCCCCATTGCAGCTCATCTCTCTTCCTATTTCAATCCATAGCCTCTTCTTCTTCTTCTTCTTCTTTTCAAACCCTAGATCTGGAAACCCAAATCTCTCTCTCTTTCTCTCTCTCTCTCGCAACTGCAGATCGAATGATAGAATGGATGAGCTAAGTCGCGCTGTGGAGGAGATCTAGATAATGGGTAGCGGTAGAGGGTGGCCAACAGGCTGAAAAGAGATGACAGGGGTGGGGGAGATGCGAGTGGCAGTGTCAGCGATGAAGGAAAATGTAGCGCGAGTTGTTGCCGTAGCATAAGTGCAAATGGATTGAGGATGGAAATAGAAGAGGGAATGGCATCGGTCGGAGGGTGATGGGGGCAGAAATAGGTAGGATGGCTGACGACAACAATTAATGGCGGCGGCAGCCGCGAAACAGAGTTAAGGTTAGGGTTAGGGTTATGGTTAGAGAAGATGAGGATATTTTGAAAATATTTAAAAATTGATGGTGTGTATTGAGTGAAAAATAGAAAATCAAAATTGAATGTGGTGTGCAATGAGTAATTGGTGTGTACTAAAAGAGTTGTGGCGTGCAAATAGAATTACCCATAAAAGTGGCATAAAAAGAGAGAGAGAGAGAAAAAAAAAAGAATGGTGGAAAAAAGTAAGAAAATTTTGGATTGGGATTGCATGTTATTGTATTTTCCATTCATAGTGTAATTAAAAAAAAGTATTCTTTCCATCAATTTTTACTCCAAATTTATTTATTTTTGTAATTTTTCTTCAATAAAATATTATATTTTACCACAATTGTTTGATTGAGATGCAATTACTAGGGAAAATTACATGTCAGTAATTTTTGTTTTAAAAATTCGTTACAAATACATTTAAAAGTTTATATTTTTACTTTTTAATATTTGTAAAATTTATCATTAATCTGAAAATATTTTTTTACAGGAAAATTAGTGAAGCATCTCTCTTTAACTTTGGGTAGTAAGAAAGATCCAATATATATATTTTTACTTAGTTAAGGTAGCTCGATAAAATTTCTTTGTGAAATCAGAGAAATTTCTCCATGTCGAATTTTCTTTATAAGAATATTGAGGAATCTTAACAACTATAAAAATATTATATATCCTTATCTTATAAAATCTTAATACAAGTGATCTTAAAAAAAAAAATTTCCCTTTTTTTACATACCCACTGAAATGAAATTACCCCCATTATTATGTATGTTTGAAATATCATTTTAATTGTGTGTTTACCTAATAATAAACTAAATTTTTACATAATTCACAAAAAACAAAAACAAAATTATGTGCAAATCACAAAATTTAATTTTATTAGGCTAATATATAATCACATATTTTTGGCCAATTAATTTTCTAGGGGTTGGCTTTGAATTTTTTTGACAGGGCCAACAAAAATCTAGAATACAGGTGGGAGTGGTCAACCATTCCATGCCTCTCCAGCTTTTCTAATGTTTTATATTCTGAAGTCGGCTCTTTTCCGCGTCATTTTCGCGTTAAGAATCTAATGAACAAAAATTCCAAGGATAAATTACATTGATCACTATTGAATTTGTAAAAATACAAATAAGTTTTATAAATTAAATATAATTATATTAATTTATTTTTTAACAAGATTTAAATAATTAAAATTAATTCAGATCTATTAATCTTTTTTTTGTTTAAGATTCATGATATTAAGATTTTATAAGATAAATGGAAAACTATCTATGTCCTCCATCCTGAGGTAAAGCAGACTCTTTTGGATTGTTTAAGAAAGAAAAATCTCCTGTTCCTTGTTTCTGGAGAAGAGGGTGCCTCAAAGCATTGGTACTCCAAGTTTCTGGAATTTTCATTTGAAGAAATATTTTATTAAATTTTTTAAAATTAAAATATAATATATATATTTTAATAAAAAATATAATTATATTAAATTTATGGGATTAAATAGCAATTTGCAAATCTAAAAAATGGAACATAATAACTTATAAATTATACAATACCACACGATAGCTGCATTATTCGGCAGCTTTCAGAGATATTTCCCCCTTCTTCTGCTGTGAATTTTCCTGGTCAACTTCGTTGCTCTCATTAATTACCCGTTGTTTAACATCTATTTTCTGCTTCTCTTTGGTGGATCTGGTCAGGAACAAACACCGAGTGAAGGAAATTTACCCCTCGATTCGTTTTCTGGCTCAAAATTTTAGTAATTATAGTCATTCATTCATTGATTGAGCTCATTTTTGCTCCTATTACTTGATTTTTGACTCTGGGTATTTCCTTGATTCGAGTTCTGAAATTTCTTGGAAAAGAAAATTGTGTGTTTTGGTTGGTCTGAGAGCTTGAGATTATCAAGTTCCGAGTGAAGTTAGTTGGTGGGTCAGCAAGAATTGGGAGGGTTCAAGGGGTTTTGGATGAAGATTTGAATTGGGTCGGTGATCAAAGCTGAAAAGATCACATCTTTTTATGAATGCTTTTTAGGGTTTACTGAGGTAGATTTGAGGAATTACAAGTTTCAGGGGTTTTGGGTATATTGGTGCTGCTGATGAGATAAGAAGGATAGGATGTGTTTGGAATGTTGATTCAGGAACAAATGGTATTCAGAGGATTGTTTGGTTTCGTTGCATTTGCCTTTCTGGTTTTTGCTTTGGTAGTAACTGGTTCAGAAGGCAAGAGGAGGGCTGATGACTTGTTATTGGACAGTCAATTATACTTGGGTTTCGTCGAGATAAATCCTGACCTGGTAGATTAGACTATTACTTCTAATTTCAGTGTAAATTATTCATATATGCAACTTGTTTCATTTCCTGTACGTGTATATAGGTATATATTTCTGGTATGCTTATGTTTTACATGAAATGTGCACTTGCTTTTGGGATGATAATATTGTCGCTGTTTCTTAGTAGTATAACTTGTATCAAGATTAGTTAGGTGCAAAAGCCATGTCGATTTGTGGTGTTATGTTGTATCAATGAGAGCTTGTATGGCATTGAATTATGTAGATTAGTAAGAATGAACATAGAGGGAAATCTTTCAATAAAAGCAATCAAACTTAATGCCATTTACTGATAATATTTTCAATTACTGTCAAATGAACTCATCTAATTTTACGAATTTAAAGTAGAAGAAAAACAATTAATTCACTGTAACTAACATTCTCCAATAACTCTTATACATATTTAAAGAGTTTAACAAAACAGTTCCCTTGTCAATAGAAGTTACTACTAGGCTTAATTTCACTGCTCTCAAGTTTTATTTCTACTTTTGTGTGAATATGCATAGTACATAGTACATACTACATACATACTAGGGCATGTTGAGCTGGTGTTGGGCTAATGTGGCACATTACTTTAGAGTTTAGACAAGCTTACAAATAAATCTTATACAAAATAAAGGCATTCCTATTATAGTTTCTATACTTAATTTGATCGCATTTTATATGTTGTCACATACCATGAATTGCCTATAGTTATATGTGTTATTGTTGATGATGAAGCATCTTTTCGATTTGTATAGCTTGTGCTTTTAGGCTGTTCTCAAGTCCAAAGCCTTGTGTGGATTTCAAAATGTTGGCTTTATTTGTACTCATTGCCCTCATAATGTGTAAGAAGATGCTGATATCTGATGAAATTATGTGATTGCAGGCAGAGCTATTTTGCTTCCATTGTGGGGTAGAGTTGATCAATGCAAAGGAGGCTGTTGAAGATCTTGAATTGTATGTAATAGAGGACAAGTCCGGTATCAACAATGCAATCATTTCAAGAAGTAAGTTATTAGCAAAAGAAGACATACGGAAAACAATCTATGTCCTCCATCCTGAGGTAAAGCAGACTCTTTTGGATTGTTTAAGAAAGAAAAATCTCCTGTTCCTTGTTTCTGGAGAAGAGGGTGGCTCAAAGCATTGGTACTCCAAGTTTCTGGAATTTTCATTTGCCAGAACTGATGATCCTAGACGACGTCATTTGCTTCAGAGTTTTGCACCAGCACCTGCCCCATCCCCTTTGGCTGGATCTCCTATATTTAGTCCAGGACCATCCCCTGTTCCAGCACCCTCGAGCTCTCAGGTTCCTAATTCTCAGCGCTCTGCTGATTCTCCAGTTCTGCCCTTTTTCCCTCCAAATTCCAGCGGTTCAAACTCACAACAGACAGCTAATGGACAGTCTTCTTCAGCTCCTGATTCTGCTACGAATGTACAATCAAATAGGCAAAATAAATCAGTTGTCGTTGTTGCTGTTGTTGTAACTGCAGCGGTAACGTTTGTTTTTGCTGCATTGCTCTTTTTCTGCTATCGTAGGTTCTGTAGGACTCGCTATGGAGCTGGAAGGAATAATGACGGGCCTCTTCTCAGCTTAAGCTTAAGTGACTATTCTGTTGGTAGATACACAATTCCTCTTGTCATTTATTATTGCGAACTTTGATGCATTTATGTGTTCTGATGTTTTTTCAACTTTGGTTTTTCAGGTTCTTCACATAAATCATTCACATTAGGGAATTCCATTAACAAAGGGAAGCTTGAAAATCACTCATTCAATACCAACTTAAACAATAATAAAATGGCTTCATCTTTGGATGGTTATTATTATAATGAGTCGGGTATTCTCAACACTTCAAAAGCTGGTACTCAATCATTAGGAGCTGTAGCTGGTGCTGCCAAACCCTCAGCAGAGGATTTGGCACGGATATCACATTCTTCTTTGAAGCCCCCACCTGGAAGGTTTGTCAATCCTTCTGGACTACCTCCGTTAAAGCCTCCACCTGGCAGGGAAAATCTCTTGCCTCCTGAACCACTTCCTCTGAAACCTTTTCCTGGCAAGGCAACTACTCCCCCGCCACCGCCTCCTGTACCACCGCCCTCTCTAAAACCTACTCCACCACCTCCCCCTCCAGGACCACCACGTCCACCTCCAGGACCGCCTCCTCCACCTATGCCTTCTGGCATGAAAACTGGTCCTCGCCCTCCACCACCTCCAAGAAGTGGTGCCCCTCTTCCTCGGCCACCTGCCACTGGCTCGAAGCCTCTTCGACCTCCACCTCCTGGAGCAAATCATCCATCACACACTGCTGGTGAAGGGGATGGAGCTGACGGTCCTAAAACTAAGCTAAAGCCATTCTTCTGGGATAAGGTTCTAGCCAACCCTGATCAATCAATGGTCTGGCATCAGATTAAATCAGGGTCATTCCAGTAAGTCAAAGTTTGCTTATTTAATGTTACTTTTGAATTCATAAATATTTCTATCTGCCGGAAATGCAGTAATATGTTTCTATTAATTTACAGGTTTAATGAAGAGATGATTGAAACTCTATTTGGGTATGCCCCTTCTGAGAAAAACAAAAAAGAGGCCAAGAAAGAGTCATCATCCCAAGATCCGTCAACCCAGTTTATTCAAATTATTGATTCAAAAAAGGCTCAAAATTTATCAATTCTTTTACGAGCCTTGAATGTGACAATGGAAGAAGTTTGTGATGCACTTCAAGAAGGTAATTTTCTCCTTATTTTGGTTTTCATGATATTGTAACACAAAAGTTAAAAAAATATTCTGTGCAGTTAGCACACGGGAACTTAATCCCTAAAGCTTTTAGAATTTAAATTTTGAATGCCACTGCAAGTCTGCAACAGCCATTGTTTGTAGGAATCTGACTGCACTTTATGGTCATGAATTTGAGAAATTGGAAAATTAACACCGGTTGCCATATAAAACGTAAAATGATTTGTTGAGGGCAACTGATTTCCCAAAGGTAAATATTATTACTTCTATTGACAATAGACATAATCCACCTAAATATCTGTGTTTCAACAACTTTTATGAATTCTATAACATTCAGTTGCTATCAGATATCCGTGATAGATTTTTATGTAAATTGACTGGATTCTTTAATAAGCTTTTTGACTCATCAAAGAGGATGAACTGAATGCAAAGACGTCAATCTACCAGGATATTGTCAATATAAAGTACTGGACTGATATGCTTAAAACTGTTGGCATGTTGCTTCAGCACACTATTTAATATGGTGCTTATTTAGCACTTGTACAGATTTTAGTGCATCGGCAGCAATGTCTAACTTCTGACTTGAATCAGGAAATGAGCTTCCATCAGAGTTCCTTCAGAATTTGTTAAGGATGGCACCAACATCAGAGGAAGAACAAAAACTCAGGCTTTTTAATGGTGAAAGTTCTCGACTTGGGCCTGCTGACCGGTTCCTAAAATTCTTGGTCGACATCCCCTATGCCTTTAAAAGGCTGGAATCTTTGCTTTTTATGCGCACCCTTCAGGAGGAGGTTTCAATGATTAAAGATTCCCTCACAACCTTAGAGGTAAGAGATTGTACCTCTGGAATGCACATTTTGTTTGTTTGTGAGTCTCTCTGCTTGTAGCATTTCTCATCAAAATTTTTGTGGGGTACATATATGAATAGATTGACTATGAGTATGTCTAGACTCTAGAGCAATATAGTTCAATCCTTGACCCTTGTGAGGAGAATAGATACATTCTCTTGAGGTGTATCCATAGTTCAATTTGGAATTGGAAAATTGGACTGCAATTAACATTTCCTTTTTCCCCTTTAGTTTTTGGCCTTATATCATATGTATGTTGATTGTGACAGATCCAAGACTTGATTAAGCTGCCTAATTAGGTGTGATGAACATGTACTCTTCCAATGCAATGATACTGAAATTTGAACTAATGTTACATTTGCTTCTAAAACAGTACAACTTTGGTTGGTCAATGGGGGATCTTGGGCAATGGGCAGTGCCCTTGCGGGAGTGGGCCTGTGCCCCATTGCAAGTGAGCTTTATAAATACGACTTTGGATAATTTAAAATTGCAACCAAACTTTTTTTAAGCAAATAAGCTAAATAAGTTGACTTATAAGTGCGCTACCAAATGGGGCCTACATAGCAGTCTAGGAGTGATGAATTGGGTACAAACCTGACATTTGCTAATATTTGCAAAAAGTGGCTGCCCTTAGGTTCTATATAAACTTACATATACACAATCCATCCTCCATCAATAATGGAAATAGACGTTGGAGTAAAGTATCTCTTTTTCATTTTCTTGCTTTTATGCATGCATGCATGCATATGTAAAGGGATGTTAAGGATAAAGAAAATGAAAGATTGAAAAATCCATAAAGATGTGCATTGGTTTTCACATTGCTGATCTGTGAGTTGTGCATTTGACATTACTGGATTATGTATGTTTTCTTTTTCATGTATATGAATATACATAACGTCTAAATCACGTGGTAACTTTGTTCTGCGCTGCAGGTTGCTTCCACAGAACTTAGGAAGAGTCGGTTATTCCTCAAGCTCCTGGAAGCTGTTCTTAAAACTGGCAATCGCATGAACGATGGAACATTCCGTGGCGGTGCACAAGCGTTCAAACTCGACACACTCTTGAAATTATCAGATGTAAAAGGAACGGATGGAAAAACTACTCTCCTTCACTTTGTCGTGAAGGAGATAATCCGCTCAGAAGGCATAAGGGCTGCCCGTGAAGCCAGAGAGAGTCGAGGCATCAGATCCGATGATTTCCTCGAAGACCCTTCTCGAGATTCAGAAGAAAACTTCCGTAGCCTTGGTCTTCAGGTGGTTTCAGGTTTGAGTAGTGAGCTTGAGAATGTCAAGAAAGCTGCAGCTTTGGATGCTGACAGCTTGACAGGGACTGTTGCCAAACTTGGTCAACAACTTGTAAAAGCCCGGGATTTCTTGAACTCAGAAATGAAGAATGTAGACCAAGAAAATGGATTCCACCAATCTCTGAAGAGTTTTGTGCAAAATGCTGAGGTTGATATCGCATCATTGCTCAAGGAAGAAAAGAGGATAATGGCTCTGGTTAAGAGCACAGCAGATTACTTCCATGGGAAAGCTGGAAAGGACGAGGGCTTGCGATTGTTTGTTATTGTTCGGGATTTCTTGATAATGTTAGATAAGGCATGCAGAGAGGTTAAAGATGCGCCGAGGAAGCCAAATAGAACGCTAAACAAGGATGAGGGCTCAACGGTCAAACCTTCTTCAGAGCCCCACCAGTCTCCTGATCTTCGTCAGCGGCTTTTTCCAGCCATCACAGACCGGCGGATGGATAATTCTAGTTCAGATGAGGACAATCCATAGCTTTTGTTAAGAACAGGTAGATGAGATTCTTTGACTCGTAACCTTTTCAAGTATTGCATTAACATATCAAATCTAATAAATTTACTTTTATTGTCTTGGCTTGTACACAGGTGGGTCAGAGTATTAATGGAAGCTCGATTAGATTGATACAATGTTGATTCTTGTGTCAGTACCATCCGTTTGTTATGTAAGGTACATGATCGGTTGGAAGGGTGTTGAACAGCTTGTGTTTATACTTTTCTGCAAGGCTGAATTTCGGTGAATACTCACTTGATTGAAGAAGCTAACGACACAATATTTTCAACACTTCACTGTCAGTGTTGTATGGAGGAGGATAGGAGGAAGTGTTCTGTGCTTTTAACATTGATTTTGCATTCATGTAGCTCGACCAGTTCATGAACCGTTACAACGTCTCTATTTTTCTATTCTTTATTCGTAGTTATATATCCACAATTTTGTTTATAATTTTCAGTGATTGGGAATTAAAAGTATAGTTGGTAAATTGTTTCGAAATTTAGGTTTGGTTTGGGGTACACTAAATAATACAAAAAGACAAAAAGTCACTATTCTATTTAAGTCACATCATCTTATTTAAATCACATCACCTCTCTAACACATCATATCCAACCCAACCCAAATTCAACTCATATAAGTCAATAAGTCAAAAAGTACACTTTGTTAGAACATCCCAAACCAACCCATAAACCAACCCTTAGGCATTAGTCCCAAGTTGTAGATGTTTTGTTTAGAGACACAAAGAAATATCAGATTATGTGATTATTGAAAGTGGCTGATTTATTGAGTAGTCTATATATTCAATCATTATCTAAGATTGTTCTTTGATCGGATAGAAACAAAGAAAGGAAGTTATTTTCATTGGACTCCTCTCTCTGTCGCTTGCTCGATTGAAATGTTGGTATATTTTGCTAGAATTCAGATCCAACAATTAGATGATTGATATGTTTTTCTAGAGCAGAGATAAACTCACACAATCGAGAAAATCTACTGACACAATTTTGTCGGTGTTAATTTTTTTTTTTAAAAAAAGGAAAAAAATCATTTTGCCTACTTGTGTCACTTTATCTTTGAACTATTAATTGAACAATATTACTTTTAAATTACTGACATTAGTTTACTTTATCTTGAACCATCAATTGAATTAATTTTTTTGACAGAATATGACGCACTTCAGTATACAAATGATTTGTTTAGGTTGGTCATAGCTAGAGACAGTAATTTGCTATAATTGATTGTATTTGTGTTTTATTTAATATTTTGGAAAATTCTAGAGTGTGTACCATCTTTTCTCCGTAGTTGTTCATTTGGTGTTCAGGCTCTCCACAACTTGGAAGGCTTGAAAACTCTCTGTTTTTTGTTATTAGAATTCAGGATTTGTTGTTATCTTCATATTCAATTACTCCTTATAGTTGGACTTTCTTCAAATTCAAAGTAGATTGTAACAGAATGTGTCCAATCCCTATTCATGTGCTGTACACAGCCTACAAATTCTAACCCATGTGTTCATGTATGAATGAAAGATAGAAGAAAACCTTTCCTGCTCTCACACACTGGTTGTGCCTATACACTTTTCTCCTTTTCTTTTCCTTTCTTTTCTAACCGTAAAAGAAGATGTCCTGAGAAAACCGCTCACGTCCCTCCTCTTCTTCATCACGTTCTTCATTATCATCTTCTTCTTCAGCCCATAAGATATGGGGAGATGTTGGAGCTGAGAAGAATGTCAATGAGCAAAGTAAGAATGTGAATGTAGAGGTTGTTGGAGAAGAAGAGCAAGGTTTGTCTATGTACCCTGACTTGAAAGAAACCTTCAACTCTTTGACTGAAATGGATGAGGAATGCAGAAAGTTGAAGGTTGAGGAAACCAGGCTTCGCTTGAAAAAACTGGAATTGATTCGCAACAAAATAAAGCTGATGATGGACACAGTTGCATTGAACTATGTTTTAGAATAGGTTATTCAATTTTCTCTTCCTTATGTCTCTCTATCAAGTGATATGAAATGGTTGGTTGTCAATCTTTCATACAGCTAAGAACACGAATTTGACAACAGTGAAGAGTACATGTTTAAAAGTCATGTACATCATAACTGATTCAATGTGTTCTAAAGTTTTTTTTACAGTTGATGTTACTCTTTACTTTTATTTCATGTCTCATATGTTAATTTTTCGGCCATTGAAATTTTAATGGATTTCTCAAATGAACAGAGCATCCAATGAAAGCCATATGTATAAATATGGCTAACCTCAACTTGAAGCAATACTCGTGGATAAATAGAAGTTAATTACAAATAGTAAGAAAATTATGTTACACTGAACATTCAATTATATATATATATATATATAAAACCAATGGCACAAGTTCAAGCATACAAACAAACTAGACAAACATAAGAAAAAAAACTCAAATGCGTGAACTCTTCCTGGCCGAAGGCTAACATTTCCGTATACATAACACACAAAGAAGGTCAGATTTTGAAATTAGTAGAAGTATTTATTTATTTATTTTTTGGAATAGACTGGCTAGACATAAAAGGACTGTTCAAATTTTTTGATGGAGTGAGGACAAACCAACAGCTTATGATGTTATAGTTTTTTTTTTTCCTTCCAGTTACACAAAGGTGTGGGGAAAAAAAAAAAGAAGTGGTGCATAGGGTGCTCAAAAAAGTTTTTATAATAAAACTTGAGACGAAAAAAATAAAAGTAAACAAATTTGATGATTTTTTTCAAAAAAAATTTATTTTATGGAACAAATTTGATGAATTGAGATCAATAATATATAATTGGGTCTTGTTAGACATTTATTATTAAATTCAATACACTTTTTAACATTTTATAATCTTTTTATGCTTTTCAATACATTTTTTCTCACCTTCCTAATATAGCAGTTTCCTATATAATTAAAAAAATTATTTGGTGATCTTAAAATATTACACCACTTCACTCATAATTTGCCACCTCAGTTTTTCTCTCTAAAAACCAACACAAAAATATGAGTCCTACTTTCTTATCTAATCACACACAATTTGAAACAATACATGGCAATGCCCCGGATCACCCAATAATTTCTCATACAACTGAAGTTATTGTCATTCCACTCATGGGATTGTAATGTTTCCATAAAATTGCTAGAATTCAAATTGAAGAATTAGATGAATTAGGCTTCATTTGGTAACATTGAAAAATAGTTTAAAAGTTAAAAAATTACTAAAAAGATCAAAAAGTCAACAAATATAAAAAAATCAAAAATTCATTTTTACTTACTTTATTTTTTACACATTTTTTTTTATAAAAAATTAAAAAGTCAATCCAAACATATTAATTTTTATCTTATATTTTAATCAAAAAATCAAAACCTCACTAAAAATATATATTCCTGCAGCAGAGATAAAAAAAAAATCTCACTAAAAAATCAAAACAGTACATAATTTGTTTCAAGTAAGTTTGTGAAAAAAAAAAACATATTTGTCTTTCTGCAGCAGAGATAAAGTCACACAGGGTTGGTTTGGGAAATGGGTTGGCTTTTTAGTTTTTTTTTTGACTATTTTAGTCTGGGCTAAAAAGCTTGGTTTGGGAAGGACTTTTTGACTTTTTTTTTATGAGAGAAGAGTGTAATGATTATAAGTTGGATGTTTATAAGTTAGATGTGATGTTTTGTTTGTTGTGGTTAAAATAGTCTATTTTGTCTTTTGTAGTTAAAATAACCAAAAAAACCCCACAAAATCCCTTCCCAAACGGTGCCACAATCTAGAAAGTATAGAAACACAAATTTTTTTTTCCCCACAGAAAAGTACAAAATGCAGTGTTGGATTGAAGAAAAAAAAATTTTCATTTTGCCAACTTGTGTCACTTTACCCTGAACTACTCATTTCAATAATTAGTTTTTTTGACACCATTTGCTTATATCTCAATTGTCAATGGAATTGATATTTTTGATAGAATATTACACAAGCCGGCATACAAAAATATTTGTGCACATAATTTATATAATTTGGATGTAAAATTTCAATGAGATGCAACCCCTTCCAATCCAAAAACAATTATGCCACCTACTCACTGTAAATAAAAAAAAAATGATCTCTTAATTAAATCAAACAAACTTAAAAACTAAATTTGGTTTGGCATCTAAATTTTCCACTGTCATCGCATACACACACACACACACAAAAAAAAAAGTAATATGGCACGCTATCAATGGCGGAAAAATTAACATTTGAGACAACATATGAACCAAAACGAAAGAGTAACATCAACTGTAAAAAAAACTTCAAAACACATTGAATCAGTGACAATGAAACGAGGACGAATCAACGTATATCCTAAACATGTACTCTTCAACATTGCCAAATTCATGTTCTTAGATTATGAAAAATTGTCAATCAACTACCTATTTCATGTCACTTGATAGAGTGAGAGACCTAAATAAGAGAAAATTGAATAATCATGAATCAGTGAGTGAATACTATTTTCAGTCTAACAGACAGTTCAACTTGCACGTGTAAAGCATATTCCTTCTTAGCCAGGATCAAACGCTACATATAGGTGTACTACTACTTCCCAACTTTCTTCTCTTGTGAGTTTTGCTATGGTTTGATGACGTAACTATGTCCATTATCAGCCTTCTTTGGTTGCGAATCAATTCTAGTTTTTTAAAGCAAAACCGGTTTCCTTAACCTTCAACTTCCTGCACGCTTCATCCATTTCTTTCACTTTCGAGTTTCCCAACAACCTTAGACCTTCCTTTACAATAGTCTCTCCCAATTCAAGACTCAACTCAGTGAAAGACTCAAAGGTTTCTTTCAATTAAGGGTACATAGACAAATCTTGATCTTCTTCTCCAACTGCCTCCACATTCACATTCACATTCTTGCTCAGCTCATCGACATTCTTCTTAGCTCTAACATCTCCCCATATCTTTCGGACAATTTGAACTTCTCTTCTTGATTGTCATGTTTCTCACTATTGACATATTTATCCTTCAAAACTTCAATTCTATGCATCAATTGATTGCCAGAGACATTGGCCTAAAGTGAATTCTTGAGGGAATTGTGGAAATCATTCAAATTGGACATAGCATCCAATGAAAGCCATATATAAAAATATGGCTCAAGCTACTATGGTGATATTTATAGTGGCAGTTTCAAGAATTTTTGTTAGGTTAAATGTTTTGTTTGTCAATCAATAGCAGTTAAATACAAATAATATTAAAAATAAATAAATCCAACACATTTGCACCTAAATGAGTCTTCTTGGAAGAGAGTTAGAAGAGATTTTCACACACTTGAAGATTTTTAGAAAGGGAAACAATTATAGAGAAGCTCTTGAAGAATTCTTGTTTTGTATTCACTTGGGTGCTTTGGGCAAATGATGCCCTCCCCTTTATATAGGATACAAGTAACATTCTAGAGTTACAAAGATGGAGAGGATTTTAGATCCTTCTCTCATCTTCTCAAAGAGCCTATCCTAAAACATACAAGAATAATGTATAAA